CCCCACATTCTCAGGGTTTGCTTCGCATTTAGAGATGCACTTATTTGGCAAGAGAAGATACACAAATGAAGGTTTGCTTCAACAACCATTCTGTCTCTGGGCCTGTTCTGAATTATCATTCTTACTCTTTACCCTCACATCCATTCGACTCTAAGGTTTCTGTGGTGCAGCCTTTGTTGATGTGTTGACAATGGTCTGGCCTCAGTGACTCTGTGGCTGTTCCTTGAACATGGATTGATCTCCTACTGGGGATTCCCCATACCACTGCCTCTGCCTGCAACAGCATCACCCACACGTGTCCATAGGTTGCTTTTCTGCTTCATTGAGCACTCTGCTCAAATGCAACCTCCCCAGAAAGGCCCTCCCTGACCAACCCATTTAAAAGAGCGTGCCGGAATCCCTTGGTGGTCCAGTGGTTAAGACTCCATGCTTTAACAGCTGAGGGCCCGGGTTCAATCCCTGGTCAGGGAACTAAGATTCTACAAGCCTCACAGCAGGGCCAAGTAAAATGAAATAGCATGCACACTCCGTTGTCAACATCTAGCCCTTGTGCTGCTTTAGTTGGCAAGCAAGCATTTGTCTCCTCTAGATATCACACTACATAATTATCGCTAATTTGTCATTTATTGATGGGTTTCTAGCTCCATCTAATAAAACATTATGTTCCATCATTATGCTCTTTGTCTGGTTTCTTTCTTGTTTCACACCATGGTCTAGAGGATTGCCTGACATGTGGAGAAAACTTAATATTGTTTGTGATTAAATGAATTCACCCAGGACATTGAACTTCTTTATATCTCTATTTCTTTGTTGACTGAGAATGCTGTAGTTCATGGTCTTTGGTCTAAAGTATTTTTGTTTGCAGTGATTATCATAGATGCATAGGTCATGTTAGAATTGAATCACTGATATTCATCTGTATGTATGAAAATTGTAAGCACCAAAATTTATTAGAGCCTAGTGCCTTTCACCTTATTAATAATAAATGAAAATACTGAATTAATGTATAATACTGATCTATAACTCTTGGACTGATAAACTATTAAAACTGCCGGATGGCTCAGTAGTGGTAACCATATAAATTACTAATGATATGACATTACACCCAAAATATCTTTAAGGAATACATACTAGATTAATCATAGACTTTAATATTTTATTTCACACTGAAAGCTCTAATAAATGTATGCCAAAAGACATTTCATATCTAGGCTTATTTTTCCTAAGGGGAATGTAAATTTAGTCATCTTGGAATGTTAGTCCTTTTTAAATTGAATCTATGACATAAAATAAAGGAAAAAGGAAAAGTGCATTGCTGAATTATTGATTCAAAATTTAGGAACCATTTTCACATTTTACGCATTAATTTTATCATAATGTTGAATTCAAGTAAATAAAAAAGCATTTGCATGAACATAGTGATTTCTTAGATGGGTTTTCTGGAAGTAATAAAGTCACAGGGTGATATAGTTTGCTTTTACTTATAAATAAAATATTTATAAAGACCATAGCTTTCAATAGTTTAAGTCAGTTAATCTCATCACCCTTCACGTGGGTAAAGATTTTAAGAGCAACATGGGAGGCAGAAGTTGTGTCCCAGTCCCTTCTGGTGCTCTTTTCCTCAAATGTCTTGAATGTATCTGAACAAGTGATCACTGAAATCAGCTAACTTAGGGAATTTCGGAAACGGCCTTGACAGTAATAGCAATGTCCTCCTTAAGAGCTGAGTGACTAGTCGTGCACAGTGTCACCAATCTAAGCCTACAGATCTTGTGGCTGAGTAACCCCAAGCTGCCTTTCCTGGCAACAAGCTCACTAAGGTATTTTCTGTTTGCACCTGAAAGAAAGCAATGTTTTCTCTGCAACAGACATGCAGGAAGAGCCCCAGAGAGTGACTGTATTTCAGGCAATCCAATATACCCTTGCAGAGCTGGATTAACATTCTGAAGGTGTGGATTTATTGTGAAGCAGGTCACCACTAACGATTAATTTGTGAGGACTGTTACCTTGACAGGGCTTTCCAGATGGCACTAGTGGTAAAGAATCTACCTGCCAAAGCAGGCGACAATAAGAGATGCGAGTTCAATCCCTGGCTCAAAAAGATCCGCTGGAGGAGGGCATGGCAACCCACTCCAGTATTCTTGCCTGGAGAATCCCATGGAGAGAGGAGCCTGGTGGGCTACTGTCCATGGGGTCGCAAAGAGTCAGACATGACTGAAGCAACTTAGCATGCATGCATGTTACCCTGTCAATTTGTCTTCAATCCCATTTCACTAGAATAATATGCCACTTCATTATTTCAGTAAGTACTCATTTGAGTGAAAATTTCATTCCATACATTTCTGATTTGTTTTATAATACAGTGTTAAGTATTGTTCTTGCTTCAATGGAAAACATTTAAAGAAGGATGAAAGACTAGAAATTTTCCGATAAAAATCCTGTTTTACGCAGAAACTGGGATTGATTAATCAAGGGAATAGTAATTCTCTATCTCACAAAGAATTCTTAGAGAATTAGAATACAGAATCTTGGCAAAAGATTCCTCACCCTTAACTCTCAGCTATAATCATGTTTATCATTTTACTTTTGCTCTGTTCTCAATTATAGAGTTTATATCCTTGAGGACATTGAGATGCTTCAGAGCTTCTTGGGGAAAAAAATGTATCCTGTTTTGAGTTATGCAAAGCAATCAACATGTTCCCATATTTCGTGCATAAATTCATAATACTAAAATTCATAGGCAAATACTAAAACATGTTGGCTCATCCCAGGTGACAAAAAATTGCCCCAAATTAGATTAACATCTTACACTCAGTCCCTAAATCATGTTACATGAATATTATAATTTAGGTTATACCCACATTTTATTTTCTACTTGAAGCAAAAATAATCATCTCAACATTATTAAAAAACAAAATAATTCTGGTACATATCTCAATCTGTTGTTGTTATTAAAATATTTTATTTACTAAAGGTTTTTCCATATTTTATATACTAAAAACTTTTACAGATTGTTAAAATTTCTATTCAGTAAGAGACAGCCAGTGGGAGAGGATAATATTCTCAGTAAATATTAGGTATGGGACAGGTATTTAATTATAAAAAGTTCTGAGGTTGTGACATAATTTGCAGAAGTCCTGTTATTTCAGATACAGCTATTTATACACCTGTGGGTTTGTTCTGGGCTAGTCTCTTCACCTGGATTGTTTCACTCTTGGGTGACTATGTGAAAATAGGGGTTTGTCTTGGCTAAGATAGCATGTAAAATTTGTTCAGAATTTATGGAGCAGAGTGATCAATAAATTAAAGACAGGTATGCATAAGCAGAGTTTTCACTGTCATTCTTCCTAACCACCACTGGGTATAGAAAATTTGGAGTTGAATCCTTGGAGAAGATGAGACCCAGACATTTTTCCATAATTAGCTTTTATTCATTGCCTCTCCTATTATTATAAGCCTGGTTGAAAGCTGGCCTTTGGTGAACATTCTCTACTGGGAACTTCCAAGCATTCATTGCCAGAATGCTTAAACCAGGGTCATAACAAAGTCAGTCCCCTAAGACCCAACTTAGTCTAGACTCATTATGCTCTAGGGAAGTCCAAGAACTCTGACAGGTAGGAATGCACTAAAGCAACCTTAAAATATCTGTTCTGGCAATCATCCATATTCATGTTTTTTAAAAGAAAATGATGTTGCCCATATATCATTCAACTTGCCATACCCTATTGACAAGTGAAGACTTTTCTCAATTGGGCATGGAAAGAGTCTGGGAAAATGAAAAATTAAAATTACTCTATAAATGCAAAGTATTTTAAATAAATATTTTAATTCTATTGTTGGCATTTAAAAGTAGAAAGCATACAGTATGTTACAAATATCAAACTGTGAAAAATATGAACGTTACATAAGTAACAAATGTAAAAAAAGTATTTTCTTACCTTCCCTGAAAGTAAGAAAAATATTCAGCATAGGAAAATATCAGTATCAAAAACACAGCTTCGGTGTAAAAAAAGGAAAGTTTTTACATGGTATTAAAAAAAAAAAGGATCTACAAAATGACAGAAAGTAAGACATGTTGAAATTTGACTTTATATAAATTATAAAAACTGGGTACTTGGGATAAATGTTAAATGGTTGAAAACTAAGTCCAATCATAGGCTTTCTTTAGGTCAATTCTTTAAAATTTTAAAAGCAATAGAATATTTTTCAATAAATAACTTTAAAAAATGTCTCTGAGAAGTGCTGCTAGGACCTCATTCCTTACAGGAGAGCGGCAGTGTCCTGGTGACGGCATGCAATTATTTTGTTCCAAGTGGAAGCCTGATGAAAGTCAGAAGACCAAAACTGTTTACAAAAACGTTTCAGAATTTTTAACAAAACTTTGTAAAAAATAAAGTCCTAAAGTGCTGAACAAAATGACTTAATTTTAGTACCCACTGTCATGAAAAACATTCAATTATTCAGACATTTCAGAGCAACACTGAATACGGAATCTATAATTCTGAAAAGTGTTAATACTTAGTCTTTCATTTCAGGAGAGGGGGGCTCTTTCTACACTTTACAAAGATGGGTTAAACCTCAAGGATCTTGCAATGCAAAACATAACAATAATAATACAATGGAAACAATACACATACCCCACGGTGAAAGCACAAGTTCATTTCAGCAACCGTATTCACTTCAAAAGTCACAAATCAAACACTGGTAAATAACAAAAAAAACAAAAACAAAAAACTTTCCAAATGCTGCATGCCACATAACCAGTTACAAAATACGATGCATGCAGGAAAAGAAATTTAACCAAGCATATTTAAATTAAAAGAGTTGATTTGAGTCTGTTTCAGCAGCATTGTGGTTATTATTTTTAACTTTCCCTCCAACAACCAGTGCCTCCCTACTGGCCTCTTTTGCAAACGTGACCCACTCTAGTGGGTAACCTTACCATGGTCTGTTTCTTGTTGTTTTTAATATATATTTTTTGTAACGCCAGTACACAGAGTTCACACGTACTGTTCTGCCTCCACATCTTTGGGGGCTGCCTTGGTTGTGCCACCTTTGCCTTCTTCATTAGCTGCTGCTTTTTCTGGAAGAGATGCCAAATCTTTGAAAACATCTACATAATGGCCGAAACCAGGGCCCCAGTTCAAAAGGCTGTCCCAGTTGAAATTCCCTGCTTGCTGCCCAAGCTTCAAGGGCAGTGTGCTGTCAGCGACCCCCGGTGTTGCTGCTGCCTGTGCGCCCACGGGTCCTCCCTCAGCCCTGCGGCCGTGGTACCTTCTAGGCTTCAGTCTGGCTCCATAATTATCTTCATCATCTGCATCCGATTCATTGACTTGAGATAATTTGGGCATCCTGGAAGTATACACCATGGGCTTTTCCCTGTCATACTCCATTTCTGAGCAAGTGAAAGACTCGTGCGAGTCACTATCAGAAGAAGATTCTGGAGCCGGGATGCCATCCGCCGGATTCCGCGTTCTGGACAGGGGCCTTCTGCAGTCCTCTTCTGAAGAAGACCTCCCGTGGTCTGCACTGCAGATACTTGGGTTTCTGGGCCGGGGCGTGTTGAGCCTCTCCACCTCTTCAATGGAGAGCCCTACTGGCGGAGAAGATTCCAGGGGGACCTGCCCAGTGGGCTGCTTCAGGCGACTCCCCGGTCTAGAGCCATGCGACGCCACGGCCTGAGGACTCTTGCCTCTCCTTCCCAGCCTCGCGGCGTAGTTGAGGATGCCGGGCTGGCACGCGTCACCATGCATCTCCAAAGTGTTTCCCTCCCTCATAGGGAGATGCAGTTCCCTCGCTGGGCTGTTCCTGTAGAAAGTGGAGGACTTGGAGAAAGGGGCTGGACTGTGTCGAGACAGAGGGTTGGGAGTCGGGCAAGCCGAGTGACTGAGGGAACTGGATCTCAGACCTTGACTGTAGGAAGGCTGGTAGGTCAAGCTGCTGGCTCCCAAGGGCATGGGGGACTGCCTGGCGAAGCCCAGGGGGCTGTGCCTCTGGATGGAAAATTTGGGGGTGTGGCTACGGAACTGCTTGTAGTGTTGGATGATGTCGGCGTCCGAAGGGGCGATGCTGCTGGCATTGTCGATGTCGTAATGCTCTATTTCCTGCTCGGGTGAAGCCAGAGGGGCACTGGGAATGGTTTCTGAGTTGTGGGGAAGATCAGTCTCATCGTAGATGAGGTAGGGGTTTTCCCTCTCAATGATGTCTGGCTTCGGGTTCCCTTCGGGCTGTTTTCTCACGGTCATATCCTCCCCATAGGGAGGGATGTTGTCCGGGTCATCGAAAGCAACATTCTCACTCCCCTTTTTCTTCTTCTCCTTCGGCTTCTTCTCCTCTTTGGGGCTGTTGGCTTTCTTGCCCCTGCACTGATTACACAGGATCAGACCCAAGACGAGCAGGGCCAGGACGGTAGCGCAGCTGCCCACGATGGCGGGCACGGCCCACAGGGGCAGGGAGACCTCCTCGGGGCCCGAGCTTGGGACACAGATGTGGCCTCCGGGGCTCCCAGCCTTGCACACCCTCCCCAGAGGACAGGAGACGCCGAGACAGGCCACCGCCATCTCGCACGTCCTCCCTGTGTGTGACTCCGGGCAGCCGCAGCTGAAGCCGGAGTGCAGGCCTGGCTCACAGCTGCCGCCGTTCTGGCACGGGTGGGACGCGCAGTCCCCGGGGGGCACGCACTTGTATGCGAACCACTGGTTGACGCAAAGCAGGTCTCCCCAGCACGGGTTGCTGGCACAGATGTTCGGGCCGCGGCAGCCAATCTTCACAGAGGGATCCGTCTTAGAAATGGAGGCCAGGCTGTGTTTCCCACTGAAAGGAAGGCTCTCTCCACCGTACAGCATAGAAGCGATGCAACCATCAAACCCTGCAAGGGCAAGAAGGAGCTGTAACGTGTTGTAGGGAAACCAGACGCTGAAAAGGCTCCATTCATCTGGCAAAGGGAAGCTTTGCCATCACATCGTGAGAGTTGAGAAACCACAACCTCACAGCCATCCTCCAAGTGTAAGGCAATAAATCTGTGCCTGTTACAATGTAAGTTAGCAAGATGTGTAAGACTGCCATGACCAAAAGGTGGAGTAGATTGATGGGATCCTGCTCTTTCTGAAGATTTACGAAGGGCTCGAATAGGCTGAGTTTTCATTTTATCTCTCCTTTCATTCAGTCATCTATTGATTTTATTTTTATAGTTTATATACAAAGAATTACATAAAAATAAATTTTAATTTAAAAATACTTTTAAAAAACCAAAATAGGCCAATAACTTCAATCATTAGCTCTTGCGGTTTTAAGGGAGGTGATATTGCTCCCAAGGAGCTGAGCATAAGTTCTTGAGGAACAAAAGAAAAATCTTAGCCATTAGCAGGGCTTGTGGGCTTCCAAAGGGTGGATATAGAATATACCTGTAGCATTAACATTTCATACAGTGGTGATGGTAGGGATCAGAAAACGAGGTCTAAAACAGCTCTTTAGGGGATGGTGATTTAAAAAAAAAAACGTTTGAGAAAGACTTTATTAGACAAATATTTGTGTGCTATATATATCTTGCCACTAACAAAAGGGTGTGACTTACATTGGCTTATTTTCTTACAACATTCAAATGAATTAGCGTCCATATTCTAAAACAAGTTAAATATGTAAGAACTAATTATGATGTAGGCTTTAACTTTTATGCTTTGACTACGTTACTCTGTCATGCATTTTTTCAATTTTCCTTTTATTTAATGCATCATTCCACCCTGGTGTCACTTCCATCCCATTTCCATAAGCTCCTGGGACATCTGCTTTTGTTCCTACACTCCTGGTTTTCTTTCTATGAATTAGTCCCCTTTAAAGTCTCATTTTCTTCTAAACAACCACTGACTCAGAGTTACTCAAGGTAAGGCCTTAGGCTTTCTTTTCAGTCCACACACTCATATTTGGTTATCACATCCATGCCCAGTGCTTCAGTTACCTGCTTGACACTAGTAACTCCTAAAGATGTATCTCCAACTGGTCTACTCTGGATTTCTAGCCCATCTACCCAAAGGCCTTTCTCAAAGGTGCTCCAAACTCAGAGAACCCCAAAGCAAAATCTTGATGTTCCCCATAGATGTGCTTATTTTTGCACCATTCTGCAGTTTTCTCTTGTAGTGGCACTACTCTTCTTTTAGTTGGAAGGTCAGAAACCTCTCTGAATTTTATAAAAATCATTAACATTTTATTTGACTTTCATTCCTGATCCTATTCCTTATCCCCTTCTTTTAAATCTCCTGCCACCACATAGTCAATCCTCACAAAATACATTGGCTAGATCACTTCAGTATCTTCCAGCTAATTTATGCAAGTTCCCTCTTGTCCTGCTCCCATGCACTTTCCAGAGTGTAGCCCAAAAGATCTTTAATATCACTGAATATCTAATTTTGATACTCCTATGATTAATTTTCAGGTATTTTTCAGTAATTTTGGTACTCCTGTGATTAACTTCTCACTGCTCCAAGAATGAGATCAAGATTGCCACATGGTCTATAAGACCTGTCATTCTCCAACTTCATCTTTGATTTGTGATATCAGTCCTCAGTGTTGTGGGTTCTATGATCCTGACAATCTATTTTCCCCCCTTTCATTCTCATCAGTATAGATTAACTTTTCATTCCCTCCCATCCTCATTTTCATGTCAGTTTCCAAAGAAGTCTCCCTTTCTCCATTTTTGGCAATCTCTTAGAATTCTATATTCTTCCTTACATCATTTATCATAGGTTAAAATAATATATTTCCTTGTGTAATGATTTCATTGATGTTTGTCTCCCTTATAGGACCATGCATTCTATGGAAAGAGTCCACCATTGTAGTTCATGCCAAGTACCTACAGGGCTCTGTAAATATCTGTTGTGTGAATGCACAAATGGATGAGTAAATGAATGAATGTACAAATAAATGTTTAGTGCACAAGGAAAGAATCAAAACAGCCTGGACTGAATTATGAACTTGGTAGAAAATGGCTAAAGAAAGTGATGGCCAATAATTTATTACTAACCTTCTAAAGATATTTATGATGGTCTTGAAAAGTAAAAGTGACTGTGTCAGTCGCTCAGTCGTATCCAACTCTGCAACCCCATGGACTGTAGCCCGCCAGGTTCCTCTGTCCATGGAATTCTCCAGGCGAGAATGCTGGAGTGGGTTTTCATTCCCTTCTCCAGGGAGTATTCCTAAAGGATGTTATCAGGCATCTAGCTACTTTTATAGGAACAATTTTACCTTTCTTTCTTTCTTTCTTTCTTTTTTTTTAATTTTACCTTTCTTTTGTGCCTCCACTCAGCACAAGCATTTACCTGTTTGAGCATCTCGATGAGCTTGATTGGGAGGAATTCCTCCAAGAGATATAGTGAGCACGTCCAGGCCACCAAAATCCTGAGTAGGGTGAATGATGTCTCTGTTATGAATTCTGTCAACAGACAACACTGTGGCTGTTCCATTTTTCCCAATTAGGAAAGTATGCCAGTGGCCATCAGCAACATAGACTTCAGGAATATTTCTCTCTACTTTGCCCGCAATTCCAGCATCCGATGTAAAATGTACTTTGCCATTCTTAATCTGTAAAACATATTAAAAATAATGTAGAATTAAACTATGGTATGCTTGAACAAAAGCAGGAGTATAAAGAAACTAAGACACTGATCAACTTAAAGCAGAGAGAATACTTGAGGAGTCTGCTTATGTGAGAGTATATTTACTTATATTGCCTTTACAGTTTTAAGTAACATATACCTTCACATTTAATAGGTTCACATTTAATAGTTTTCAAGGTATTATTATATTTATAACTAGTTTTTCAAGATGTGTATATTCATTTTCCAGAACACAAGCGAAATAGTAATAGGGTGAATACTCCCCTTAGGATAGATAAATCACACGTTTTTATGATTACTTATATTTTAATGGCAATTGCAAGTTAAAAAACTTGTTTAGTAAATGGCCCACAGCTATCAAAAAATATTAAAACTATATCCAAAAAGATAAATCAGTGCTTAATTAAAAATGAAGCTTAGTTGGAAAAGTAAAAACATAAATACATTGTTTTACCTGTCATCTATTACACAGTGGAATTTTATTTTTTTTAAAAAATCATGCTTATTATTTATATCATTTATTGAGATGACAAGTGTGATGAATAAAGGGTGAGTTCCTAATAATGAGGTGTCTGGGCAAGTCTTTATTTTGGCTGTCTTTTAATATTTATCTAAGGGATATTTGGTTTCTTTTGCTTTGCCCACTAGAACATTGGGTAACAGGAAGCTCTTACTCCAGTTTCCAGCTTGCAGGTTTCCAGTTTTCTAAGTAGACACTTAGAAAATGAAATAATTTATAAGCAGGATGAAAAGAGCATAATCCCGACACTACTGCCAGAGGATAAAGTGGCACTGAGCATCAAATGACGGGAATGAAAGGATGGATCCGTTTATTTTGTCACTCAGATCAACTGCTATTTCTACATGCAACAAACACATCTGGTAGAACTAAAAATGAATTCATTTTTACTTTGTGGAAAATATGCCTAACACATTTACATACGTTATTCATAATGTAAGATTCTATTAAAGCTGTTTATTCAGATAATAATATATTCCAGTACTGAACCCAGGACAAAAAAAAAGAAAATTGTGGTTAAATGACAGTAATGTCATCAAATGGACAAAATCTCATGAAACACACAGGAATTATAGTAATTCATCTTAGGTTCTAGCCAGGGTCCTTTTTGGAAAGAAGCTTTCCGAAAAGACTTCTCCAAAGCTTCATGTTTCTCTCCTAATTGATCACACCCTGTCATACTTTCATTTGACCAATTTCTGATGAAAAAGTCCATGGAACACACTATGTGTGGAGTGGGATGAAAAAGAATCTATGTTTCCATTACAACAGTCTTCATATTCTACCTCTCCCCAATAATACTCTACTTAACTCTTCTATCCACCCTAGTTGTCAAAATATCATGTACATTTTTTGCTTGGTTTTATTTATTCATAGATTGACTTGCTCATTTATTTATTTATTTTTGACTCTAAAGGGCTTGGAATCATCCCAAGTCTGTATGGCATACCTGGCCTTACTTCAAAACAAAAACAAACCAACTATATACCAAAACCAGAATGATTTGGAGTAGATACAAAGTCCATTGCCTTGCATTATTACATTTCTAAATAAGGAGATAAACCAAGTGAGGGGAAAGAAGAGAGCTATGTGAAACACTTTAAATACAGTGTAAAACCCATGATACATAAGAATGCTTTTCTTTTGTTTTTCTCTCTGAATTTTTCTCTCCTTAGTTTCTTTCTTTCTTTTTTATTTTTTTAATCTGAATAAAGAAAGAAAGAGAGATACAAAGCAACTGTCAGAAACTGAGCCAAAAAAGAAAGAAGAAAACCAGGACCCGTGGTCACTGATAAACTAATTGATAAGTAACAGTACATTCTAACTAGTTTCCTCGCCCGGATAAGCAGATGTATTCCTGTCATCCAAGTAACTTGCCTGCTTACAACAGTTACTCTCTTCCTGTCTGTTCAGTTCTCTTTAATCACTGTTTTTTTTTTTTTTTAAATCTATTTACTCTACCTGCCAAACCCCTTAATCTCTGAAAAGCTACCTTTCAAAATTTTCATACAAAGGAAATGTGAATGGCCTGCATTAGTCATTATTTTGATTCAATTTCCCTTCAGGAAGAAAAGAAATCTCCAAGTGCTAGCTACCAATGTAACAAAATCTGGAGAGGCTGCATGCTGCTGTTCTGTTGGAAATGCAAGATTTTTATGGTGACAAAAACGGATCCTGACATTCAGCTCCTTCCTTGAGGAAGGAAAATATTCTGTCTCTGATTTCTCCAAGAACATTGTTTTTGTATCTCTTGGCTTAAAGAGATAACATACAGAAATATTTCATATGTCATTTAAATGGCACGAGGACTTGGAAGAAGTTGAACAGATAATGCACAGACCTCAATGTCAAAGCCTCTCCATGCGTATAAAAATGTTTCTTGTAAGAATATGCCGGTCTCCTGCTTTCTTTACTTCGATACACTTTTCAATGAAAACTATAAGCACCAAATAATGTTACACAATGACTTAGGTGTTTTGTTTTGCAGTTACTCTATTACGTCTGGGACTGGGCTCTTTGTTTCAATAATGGAGGTAAAATTATAACTTCAAGTTATTCTCCAACTGGATTTGGGCAGAGTTTCTGTGTCTCAGCAGCACTGACATTCAGACTGGATGGTTCTTTCTTACAGGGTATTGTGCTGTGTGCTGAAGGATATTTAGCAGCATATTTGACTTCCAACCATTAGATGCCTGTAGTTGTGCCCCTCTCCCCTGCACCCAACAACCATGACAATAAAAAATGTTTCCAGGTTTTGCCAAATCAAAATCACCCCCAGTTGGGAATGGCTAGACCAGGGAGATTATTCTTAGAAACATTTCTTTTTGTACTAAATATTTAAAGGTATATACAGACTTCCCTGGTGGCAGTAAAAAAATGTGCCTGACAATGCAGGACACACGGGTTCGATCCCTAGCTCGGGAAGATCCCCCGGAGAAGGAAATGACAACCCACTCCAGCATTCTTACCTGGAAAATCCCATGGACAGAGGAGCCTGGTGGGCTACAGTCCATGGGGTTGCAAAATAGTCAGATATGACTTAGCAAATAAATAAGAGGCCGCGTACCAACCAGAGTTCTCTTGGATGGAGAGAAATCTTAAGAATAAAGAGGCTGAAGTTTAGAGGTGAATGTTGTTTTTATTTTTAGCATTGTATGTGAATTAAACCTACTAATTTTCTAAGTATATTGCTTCTTTCTTTTATAAACTAAGCTTTTAGTAATTTTCAAAATATTGATATATAAGTGGAAATAATTCAGTAAATATGGATTTGTTTTCTTAAGAATTTATTAATATAAATCCTAATAATTCTGCTGGTAATATAAAAATTATGAGCAGAATTATAATATACTGAATATATATATATAACTCATTTATAGCTGAGGAAAAAGAAATATGTGTAAAAAGCCTAATGATAAATCAACATGAAATATAATGTTGCAGAAATATTTATTTAGAAATTATTTGGAGAAGCTAACTGAAATTTTACTTACAATAAATTCCAAAGATATTTAGTTTCACAGGCATTACATGGATAGTGAATCAAATATAAATATGTTCCAGAATAAAGGCAGAAAATTTCAAAAAAAAATTTTATTCTTGTCCTGCCAATTAATATATACATATAAGTGTTTGGAATAATTCTTGGAAAAAAGGTATTTTTTCCATTTCAAAGACATATCTTTGGGTTTTACTTTGTTTTAAAGTAGGGTTAAAAACAATATGAATTTTTTTGTCTGGCAAAGTAGATTGCAACAAATTCTTTCTTTGCTGGCCTACTCAGCAGTGGTCTCTATTCTAAACAAAAGTGTTTAGAAACCAAACCATTCAGATCTTTGTTACTCTGGCCAATGCCTGAGGAATAGTTAAGATAGATGATATTGGAATAGTGCCCAGCATTAGTCGGAACTCTAATGGGTTGTAAAGAAAAGGATAGAAATTATGGGAGAAGTGATTTAAACCATGACACAGCAGGCGGTCTAATCAAATGAAGTCACCATTAGCTTTTATCTTACCTTCACAGTAGTGTAATTGCTGCTTTCTTGGATATGGATTAAAATGCCATTCTCGCTTCTTGTCCTGAATTTTACTTCCAGACTGTTCACACCAAAAGGCTCCAACATGGCACCTCGGATGCTCTGCCTCAACAAATATTCCCGCTTCTCATTCTGACTCATGTGGTAGTCCAAGCGCCCTTTGCCTTCTAACGATAAGGCTGTGTCCGGGGTAATAGCTGAAAGACAACAAAGAAAGATAAACATGAATGCATCCAACAGGCATTTCTTAGAGTTTCTTTGGTGACAAAAATTTATAAAAAAGAACAATGAAATTATTGAGGATTTGGAATCAGTGTCCCTTAATCCTCCTCTGAAAAAATTATTGCCACTTGAGAATTATTGTGTGAGTTGATTTCAAATGCTTAAATCTGTGTTGGAACCATGAAATGTAAAACATTTTGTGACACTTATTAATTTGGAAAATATTCATTAAAATATTTGATACATGCTATATACATTATGAATACCTGGAGAGATAGCTACATTTTAAAAATATACAGTTGAAAAATTTAATTATAAGTTTCACTGTGTTTCTAAAATAAATAATCTTTAAAGTCTCTAACATGGAAAATTTGAACAAAGAAGGATACAAACATTCATATTTGCAACTAACTTTATTAGTACTAATAATTGCATAAATTTAATTTGCGACCATGTATGATTATCATGTTATATTTATAATCTAATAAATGTTCACACTTCTGAAGTATGTAAGTGTGTTATAGCTAACAGATCTAAAGAAAGAACATGAAGAAAATGAGCTCAAAACGATTTCAACAGTGAACAGTACATTTTAAGAAGGTAAACTATGTAGTATGAATTATACCTCAATTTTTTAAAAAGGACCACAGGCTTTTCTTACATGAGTGGCATTTTATTTTCCAAATATAATTAGATTACTACTTACGAAACACTCATTACTTTAAAAAAAAATCATGTGAAAATGCACTTTTTCTGTTTTGATTTTATCCTAAATAAACACAATCATACCTCTGCTAAGATCTTTTTTATTATAGTATATACTTAATCATGGGCTTCCCTGGTGGTTCAGAGGGTAAAGTGTCTGCCCGCAATGCGGGAGACCTGGGTTTGATCCCTGGGTTGGGAAGATCCCCTGGAGAAGGAAATGGCTACCTACCACTCCAGTATTCTTGCCTGGAGAACCCAATGGACAGAGGAGCCTGGCAGGCTACAGTCTATGGGGTCGCAAAGAGTCGGACACGACTGAGCGATTTCACTTCCCTTCACTTATACTTAATCATAAATTTCTATTAATTCTCATAGCAGAATCAAATGACTACTTGAAAAGTGGTCAGGTAGGTGCAATGATTTAGGGAGTAACCACTTATCTGACAACAAAGCAATTCTATTATAAAGATTCCATTAGAGTTAGTCATATACAGCCTGAAATTAGAGAATGCCATTCTCTAATGAACTCTTGAATGTCATTAATATCTTATTAATAATATTAGGATTTAGAAACAAATAACTAATAAAAGAATTTTAAAAGTAATATTTGAAACCAATTTCATTAATTGCAATTTAAAATTTAATTATCACCTTTAACTATAATAGATTTTATTGCCATGACATGTTTTGAACTCAGTGTTCAGCAATTCAGTACTTTTACTTTTCAACCAAACACAACATGTTCACCAGAGAAATATCCCATAAAGGTAGATAATATTAAACCAAAACCTGAATATAGCTCTGGTCTTGTACATTTCCAAGCATTCCTTTAGGTAAAACAAAAATAACTAAATGATACATTTATAAAATGAAAACTAAGGACATATTTAGTAAATATTTCTTAAAGGATTTCACTCCTCCTTGGGTTGAGAACATGAATTAAAACCTGTCACTGTATTTTACCAATTATTCCCCATTTAATATTTTCAATAGTATCAAAACATAATTCTTTTAATTCAGTTACATATTTAGGTACATATATTTATACTTTTCAAGGTTATTAGAATTTCCAGTGGAAGATGAAATAGCTTGCATACATTTTTCACAATATTTCCCGGTCAGTCCTTCCCTGCAATGACACTGCTGCCATGACCAGTAATCTGTACATGTGCCACCGTGTTGACAGGGACTGTGAGTACAAGCGCCTTCTAGTCTGGGGCATCTAAAATAAAATCAGAATAAAGACACATAGAGCACAAAGCCAGCAGGGGGAGAAATTTGATAAAATTAGATATAAAATTTTATTAACCTGTTTAGTCTTCATGAACTCAATGCTTTGAAACTTAGGTTGCAACTATATTTGGAGCATCTAATCAAACTAAAAGTTGCCTTGTAACATACACCCTGCCTCATTCATAAAAGACAAGATTAAGCAAAACATCTTAAACAGTAAAGAAAGAGGTGATAATTTCTTCTTTAATTCTTAATTGAGCAAAACTTCCTGGCCAAATAAACACTTCGGTTCATGTGCTCTCAGGGCTACATGTTTCTTTGAGTACCCAGCTCCTCCATTAAATGACTCATGCATGCAACTAATCTTTATTGAATGGCTACTGCATGTCAAACATGGTTCTAAGCATGGAGATAAAATGATGGAAAAAATCCATGTGTTCATGGAATACTTTTTATTTTTTTTCCTTGTAGGGGAGGCAGATAAAAAACTTCAGATAAATGTGTAGTATGTTTAGAAAGAAGGAAGTTCTGTGGGAAAATGAAGGCAGAGAAGAAGGACTGGGAGTATTTTGGGGATGTTCCTGGATCTCTAGGTTAGAGGTTAGACGGTGAAGGAAGGATTTGTCTTCATGAAGTCCTAAATAAAGTGAGAGAGCAAAGTATATCTGGTCAAAGATCATTCCAGGCAGAGGAAAGAGCCAAGTGAGAGAATCCTGAAGTGAAACTGTCCTTGGCATGTTTGAGGAACACCAAATGGCTAAATATAGTCAGAGCAGCAATGTGAACAAGGAGAAGAGGTAGATAATGGTAAGGAGGGTAAGATATGAAAAGAACTGTGTCAGAACTGGCTGGGACATGACCTGAGGACTACCCTGTTTGCTGTTCATGCTGGACCTTTGCTGAACACTCCATTAAAACCGCTGAATTGCAAAAAGCAAAGGATAATGCTGAGAACCAGACTTTCTCTGCATTAAAGAAAATACACTTTCCCCTAGTAACAAATGCAGTGTGCTCCAGAATTCAATCATACATGTAGAATAATTTTACCCTCCAGTCCAAAGTTTTGATAAGCAACTTGTGTAAGCCTGCATTAATTTCCCTCTTTCTCCTACTAAACAAAAAAAATAAACAAACAAAATGCTTGTTCATCTTCTTTCCAGTGGGACATTACTTTGGGTTCCTCTGGAATCTGTGACCCCTAAATTGCAATCTGAAGATCCCAGATAAACTGCCTTTACACCTCTTTACATTCCAGGTCCTTTTGGTTGACGAAGGAGAGGTCAGTCTTATAAGTCAGGGTAAGAATTGATTTCTGTTTTAATTTTCTTTAATTTTTTTTTTGTTTGTTTTATATTGCAGTAGAGTTGATTGACAATGTTGTGTTAGTTTCAGGTATATAGCAAACTGATTCAGTGATATACATATTTCTCTTCTTTTTCAAATTCTTTTCCCATTTAGATTATCATAGAGTGTTGAGCAGAATTCCCCATGCTGTCCAGTAGGTCCTTGTTGGTTATCTATTTTAAATATAGCGGATTAATATGACTTCTGTTTTTTAAGCATCATTCTGTTTCCTGGTGGATTGACATACCACATTTTGTCAGAAAGAGAGGAGTCAAAGGTGGTCTAGAAATTGTGGTTGACCAAGTGCGTGGACTGTGTTATTATTATCTGAGATGAGACAAAATACAAGGAGTGGGTTTGGGAGGAGTCAGGAAGGAAGGTCAGAAGTTCAGTTTTAAAATTAAGTTTGAAAGACTTGTTAGAAATACACCCTGAATACTGTGTATGCTGTCGGATATAAGGGTAAAGTTCAGAGGAGAGGTCAGGTTTAAGATACACATTTCAGAGTTATCAGCTTTAGAGACAGTACTTAAAACCAAGAACTATATAAAATGACTTAAAAAATTTTTTTACTGACTTCAAGAGTGAATACAGATACAAAACAGAAGAAGTTAAGATGAGAAAAATGAGAGTAGAAAACCGACTGTGTACCATGTGCTGGTGGACAAACTAATAGAATCGTTCTCAGTGTTGCTGAAGTTCAATAAGAGGAGACTTGACCATTGATTTTAGCAACACAGTGGTTATGGGTCACTTTGACAAAGATAGCAAAATGGAAAATGGGATAACAAAGTTTTTTAAAACTATGAAGTGGAAGAAATAGTAGCCTAAATTGAAATAAGAAAAACACTGTTTAGAAAGCTGGATTGCTATTTTAAGAAAGTTTGGGGAGATGAAGTCTATGGTGTAAAAGGGGGGTTGGTCTTTTCAGAATTAGGAGCAATTCATTCAGCAATAGGTTACAGGGTGGACTACAGGCTGCATGGGCAGCTGTGGAGAAATAACTTTGGGAAATTTTGCCTTTATCCACCTCAATTTTCTAAGCAAGTTAGGAAGCAAGTTCATTAGCTGGGAAAACAATGCAAGAGATAATGTCTGAGGTTTGTGTAAAGAAGAGGCATGATATAACTACTGAAGAAGGGGAAAGTAACTAAATTAGGGGAATATAACATATTGCCAGGCATTAATTATGGCTACACTAGAGTCTAGTGATCAGGAATTTAAAGAGAATAAGAACTCCTCAAGAGCAGGGATCTGCCTTGTCCCTTTACTTGAGTCTAGAGCCAGACCAAGGGAATAGTATATTTAAATGTAAAACTATTTAATCTCTAATTGATTTTGTACATTATATTATTACTAACCCTTATATATTACTATGTCCCAGATTCCTTTTTATGTGATTTACTTACTTAACTCATACTTTTCACAACTATGTAAAGTATATACATGCATACATGCACACATCCATATATTTTCCCACAATCTCACAGCTATAAGGAAATACTTAAAATTCAAAACAGCATAAAACACTTGGTATTTTTGGAGCTTTGAGCACAATAATGTCATCTTTTGATGCTCAATTATCATACACTTTTGGTATTTACAGTTTTGTTTACAATAGTAAGAAATGAGGTTGCCATACTGATCTAGGATTCCTTGTGCTGCCAAAGCTTGGCTGGGTTCCAGAGGCCTTCCATTGACTGCAAACTCCATTATACACCCAACAAAATCATGACTTTCTACATGTCCTCTCCTCTGAAGGATTGATTCTAGTGATCTAATACCACCAACTGTGACTCGATTAGGCTGAACATCCAGAGTCCTACATAAGAAAGGAAAGATATGTGATTGGCAGAACATTGTAACTCAATTAGACTTCAATCAAAAATAAGAAAGGAAAGATATGTATATTAATATCAATATGGTAGATTCCTGTAAAATATTTAGTTTAAGAAAAAATGACTGTAACTTTTCCTGGCATGTATTAAAACATAGTACATACCAATGGAAAACGTTACTTAGGGATGCATGTTTTCTAAACAGATACCTACAGGATTGTTAGATTTTTCAGAATACAGAAAATTGCAAAACTAGTGGAAATAATATTTTCAATTAGTCAAATGTGATGTATATAACAATGTTAAGTTTTTGAAATGGCGCATACTATCATAAAGAAAATAAGTAGAAGTGACAACTCTAATATTAATGTCAGATTACATTTTTCCTTCACTACGGAGATAATAAGGAATCAAGCCAGTCAGTTAAAACAAATGGATGATGTATAACTATTTCTTTTTCTCTCTCTGTAACTATTTCTATAAAAATCCCTTATGCTTTAGGTGAGGTGAGATTGTATTTCACCTTCAGGCACTATTGAAAAATATCTGTCAATCATTGTCACATACAACTTTCAAAAATACATTTAAAAGAGGATGGGATCCTTATCCTAACCTTCTTGCAGTACCCCGGTCACATGCAACTATTTCATGGAGCTTCTGAAAGAGGATAGGCTATGTTAAGCTTTCCTCTCTCTAGCTTTATCCTCATCTGTACCACTTCATTTTTATACTGTTTTTACACATTTTATAGACTAATTATTAACTTCTCATTGTTCAGTATGAAAATCCCTTTAGAGAGGACAAAATATCTTCAACTTTTATATAACACTTAGCATAATAAAATTATTTTAAAGTATAATTTCACTTTGAATTTTAATTAATAATAAAGATCAAACTAATAATTTTACTTACCAGTCATCTGAAACTGCCACATTACTAACAGTGCAGTATCCTGCCTCTTGGTTCTCAGAACAAGAGTCCACAGTTAATGAAGCTGCCTATAAAGCAAGAGAAGAAATGTTCAGTATGAACTCTATCGTCCCTGTTGTTCTTTTCAGCTAACACTACCCAGGACTTGTTTCTGCATGGACATGATCTTTAAATTGAAATAAAATTTTGATATATTGGGTGACCAGAAAGTTCATTTGGATTTTTCCATAACATCTTGTGGAAAAATCCAAATGAACTTTCTGAATAACCCAATAGTATACTATAATACAGCTTGTTTTTACGTAGACATGATTTTTAAATTGAATTAAAATTTTGGTGCATTGAGTTGGCCAGAAAGTTCATTTGTTTTTTCCATAACAACTTACAGAAAAATTCAAGCAATCTTTCTGAGCCGCCCAATAGTATAATACAATTATAATTCAAATGAGGCATTGGCAGTATGAACTGTGGCCTGCCAGGCTCCTCTGTCTATGGAATTCTCCATAGAGAATTCTCCATAGAGAAAGAATACTGGAGTGGGTAAGCATTCCCTTCTCCAGGGGATCTTCCCAACCCAGGGATCGAACCCAGGTCTCCAGTATTACAAGCAGATTCTTTACCTTTTGAGCCACCAGGAAAGCCCACAATTATAATACATGATCCAATTAGGGGTACACATTTCCTTTATATACCTAAAGCTAAAACTGTGAAACTATTACATGTAAGAAGTAGGAAAGTGCTTTAAAAAATCTTCTCCAGCACCCTTGTTTTATAGATGAAATTTTAAAAATGTCATTATCTCTTAGGATATCATACGCTCGGTGTGAGACAGCTTCTTGGGATTACAATCTTAAGAAAAATGCTTATCCTACTATCTACCTGTTCCTAAAAACAAACAAAAAAAACAGATGTCTACTTTTAAAAAAGTTTATTTCCAATAATATTTCAGTCATATTCACAAAAAGATTTTGTAAGTATAATATAAATACTACTACTGCAACCTATGAAGACTGTAATACTTATAATAAAGGTTGAGATGATTTAAACAAGTCATATAGATGCTCTTTTCATTTTTAAGAATCAATCTATACAAATGGCATATTACAGCATATTTATCTATAGTGTGAATGCATTATTATATATTATTATACAGTAGTAACTCACCAATATCATTTAAATCACAACTTATAGTAATCATTTTTGTATCTTAAGAGATGCACATTCCCCTGAGGAAAAAACCTGTTTAGTATGACATAGTAATACTCAATTTGATCAAGAAACAAAGTCATCAAGTCATGGTCATCAGGCTCAAGAACATGATGGGATTCAGGGTTCTCCATATTGGGCAGTGGCCAGGGGGACGACAGTGAGAAGCTTGTTGCACATCCGTGTTACTCTGCGCTCTGCAAGGCTGTTGTGATGCCCCTTGTTTGTTTTCCAAACAGCAGTGAAATTCTGCGAAACTTTGCATATTTTCACTGGTGAAATTTTAAAATTGATATTCAGAGTGTGGTACTTCACAGCACAGCTAGTAAATCACAAGAGGCCTAATCCCAAATCCAGAAACACAGAAGGACTGATGGTTTCTATTAACACAGAAAACCAAAGACTCTACCTAAATTTACTGGAATACCATAGGACAAGACTAATCCAACTTTCTCTACTTTTAGAGAAGAAAAAGAAATACTATGAAAGCATTTATAAAAAGGATTGTCATTGAGGTAAATTTTAATTAAAGCAAAGCAAAAGGAGGAAACGTAAAACAGGGTGGTTCAGCAAGTTAACATTACTTTTGACCTAAATGTAGAAGAACAGATTTCCTGTCTTTCATTATGTATGGAAATGATTTGTTTCTTGAATATCACATTTTTATCAATATTGCATATGATTTTGTGAGACTGACGATAAAAATATATATTTAGGTGGGATTTGTAAAAGTAGATCTTAAATACTTTATATTTCAGAAATAATAAATAAGGCCGATTTATACTTACTGTGCATCAAATATCACTGGCTAAACTATTTAAATTTTTTCCTATAAGTTAATTACTGTAACTGATTATAAACTTCATACAGTAAACTCTCATAAGCTGTGTAAATTTCTTTCCTGTCACCTTCTCAAAGAAATTATTAATACTATCAATTTTAGGAAACATTTACATTCTCAATTTTATGTCAAGACTTTCATGCCTTTTTTAGTTAACTATTTTAATTGTTAATTTTTCCAGTGATCTATGAAACTGAGTGACATTCAATCTCAGAAGAGGTATTAGGTTTTTATATTACAATATATGCTTATGTTGACTATTAATTTAAGCACAATTCCTTTCAATTTATTTCTAAAACAAAGTGGTAACACATCTCTCACTATGTATACTACGTAAAGTACCCATCCATTCTAGAGATTCCTAAACTTATCATAAGCTAGAGAGTCACAAGGACTTTTATGAATGCTTTAATTAGGAAAACTTGCATATGGCATCATATTTTCAGTAATGTTAATACTTAACATATTTTTCTTATTTTCTAAAAGCTTGGTGATACAACTCAAAGGAAAAATACTTGAGGGAAAGTTTTATTTGAATAAAAGCTCATTCAATTTCATCTTCAGAGTTAAATGCACCTTCTCTTTTACTGTTGAATTTTTCTACCAGTGCTGCTGTAAACTGAGATGTTTTTATCCTGTCTTTGCAATGATTCAGATCTGAGAAGTTAATGATTTTGCCAGTTTCCAAAAAAATCCTTTTGAACCATAGAAAGCGACAGATTCAAAATCCAGTAGGGCCTTGCTTTGGATGTATTCCGAAATAGGAATTTTTTTCCTCTGACTGAAGAAATTATGACAAGGGGTTTCCCCCAACTAAAACCTGATGACTGTGGAGATCCATTACAAATAAACTGAAATAGCTTTTCCTTTCATTCAGTTGGGTATATCTCATGGTGCCTCTTTCTTCGTCCTCCCTCTTGCTCTCAAGCCCTTCTTTGATAAAATCAAAAGAATGATCACGAAGTTTAAGGGGACCTTGGAGGTCATCAGGTAAAATCCTCTACTCTACACAAGAGCCCATGGACAGCATCTTAGCAATACGGATACCTTATCTATGCTTGGAGGGTTGTGATCTACTAAACCCCATTACCTTCAACACTCAGTGCTAGAAAATCATTATGGCTAATATAAGCACCAGTCTATGTATATCACCAGTCTCCATGTTTGTTCTAATTCTGTCAGATTCAATATGACTGAGTACATCAATAATCAGGGACACTGCCATTTTCTAAATCCCTGTTATCCCAGAGATTTTTCTCTAAGCGAATATGTACAATTGAACTTAATTTGCACCACAATTCATGCTTTAACATTTCAAGTTTCCAGCCTGGTTAACTGAATATACAACAATAAAGCAAATTTTAATGCGGACTGAATATCTTACCATTCCTGCTCTCCGGGCAATCACAGTGTGAAAATGTCCATCTGACACCTTCTTCATGGTGGTGAGTTTATAGGTACCACTGCCTAAATTATAAGAGAATCTTAATCTTTCTTCAGCAATTTCAAGGGCCAGAAACTCAGCCCGATCCCCTGTTTGGTTGTCATAGTTGTAAAGCAATAAAGCATGACTTTTAATAGTTGCAAATTTGACATAAATATAGTTGTTATTGGGATCCAAGCTGGGGAATTCCATGTATGATAACTCCTCAAATCCATAACTATTCAATTCGCAGTGTTTTCCAAAGACACCTGTAGATGGGAAAATTAACATATTGATACATCACATTCAAGTAAAGTTTTATTATATGACTTGGATTAAAATGTTTTAAAGTTACAATAATGAGTCATACTTTTAACAAATTTTTATTACTCTCCAAAGAATACTGTCTAAATTTAATTGAAATGGAAGTAAAAAAGATCTCAAAAGCATATAAGAAGTGATAAACTGGTAAAATTGTTTTTCTTTGGCCAATTAGAAAACACATCCTAATTAATCTAATTATGCCTTATTTTTTAAAAATAGAATTAGTGGAATGGAGTACATTTGAAGAGGTTTCTTTCCTGGAAAACTTTCAAAGTGATTTTGTCAATCTTTTTAAAGTTCAATATGCTGTCATTTTCAACCCAGTTACTTCCTTCATAATATACAATTCTTGAAAACAATTTTAATTCAACTAAGGATTATAAATTTGTTTTTGACTAAAAACAAAATTAGTTCCTGCACTTGTGGTATTTTTGAGTCACAAAATTAAGAAAAGGAATCATTGCTTTCAGGGATGAAAATAACTGTCTAAGTTTTTATCTCTATCTCTCTCTCTCTCTTTTTTTTTTTTTTTTTTTGTTTTATACCCTCTTTGGGTATGATTTACAGCAGCTACTTTGAAATAGCTTTCTGTTTTTCTGAAATTCAGCATTCCCACTTGTTTGTGCTGGTTCTTTTTCAAACTTGAAAAATGAGTTTTATTGATGTTACAATGCTATGCCAAAATTCTTTTCCCACAAATATTAGTAGACTGTAGCAAATGATCGGAAAATTAACCCATGCCAATACATCATAATTCTTATTAACTTGCAAAGGTTTCATTCCTTCATTTTGGCTGTACATCTCATGTAAATGCATTAAATTTAGATTTAGGGAATTGTTCTGCTAGAAGAAATCAATGTCATCATTTTACAGAATATTTAAAACTTGTCCAAGGTCATGGAACCATGAGAAACAGAGCCAAAATTTAAGGCCAGATCTACTGATCATCTGGTTGTTTTGACTATGCTACATTTTATTTTAATGTTCTTTAAATTAAAATGGCCTAGAATTTCCTTGTGTCATTTATCTTTTTTCTGTAAAGGCTGAGATAATATTTATTATAAATGAGTAGGAAATCTATATAATTTATTTTTAATCATTAACTAACACAAAAAATTATCAGAATTATATGTATTATATATATCATATATACTATATATACTGCAAGGAGATCCAACCAGTCAATCCTAAAGGAAATCACTCCTGAATATTCATTGGAAGGACTGATGCTGAAGCTGAAACTCCAATATTTTGGCCATGTGATGTGAAGAACTGAGTCACTGGAAAAGACCCTGATGCTGGGTAAGATTGAAGGAGGGAGGAGAAGGGGACAACTGAGAATGAGATGGTCGAATGGCATCACTGACTCAATGGACATGAGTTTGAGCAAGCTATGGGAGTTGGTGATGGACAGGGAAGCCTGGCATGCTGTAGTCCATGGGGTCACAAAGAGTCAGACACAACTGAGTGACTGAACTGAAATGAGCTGATATTATATATGGCACATGTTTATTTGTGTATGTCATAAATATATCTATCATATAAGTTTTATATAGAATAAAATTTCAAGTTTATATTAAATATATATTTAATTATGTATAGATTATTTAAACATGCAGAAAGACTAATCAAAGTTAAATACAAAGGAAAAATAAGGCATACAAAATGAAGTAGATTGTTAGAAATTTTCAGTGTGTTCCCTTAGGTCTCTTATGATTAAGTTCTAATAAATCTATGAAAATACACTTAAAATTTGAATGCATATATATATATATAGAAAGTATATAGCTACTGGGAAGATGTTCTACATTTTATTTAAATTGATACTGCACTTTCAAACATGATAGTATTTTTTATAGAATATATTATCTTTTTAAGGATTTTTGTTATCATTTCTAGAAAAATGTAAATTTTTGTCTTTGAAATCATCTTAATGAGCATTCAAAACTGATTTTCCAAATGGGACACCATGAAACAAATCTACATAAAGATCAAAAGAAATTATTCAAATTACTTTAATAAGAAATATCAAGTGTATACAAAGTTATACACATATTTAAACATAACTATATAGGCTCTCTTATAAAGTCTTAAGTACTTATGTTTTCCTTCTAAAACATAAGCTTAAAAAAAAAATAAAATATAAGCTTAAAAAAAATTAAGTCTAAACAACAGCTCTTTCACCTATGAGAAGGTAAACAGTGCAAAAGTTCTTCCAACTTCAAAATTATAGTTAAGATGTTCTTTTATAGGATTCATATGTAACTACTTCCAGCTATTTATTTGAAGTGTTCCATTTGCCATTTTTATTTGTATGTTTCACCTACATTCAATTTATACTACTTTTTTCTTTTAATTCTATTTCTTTTTTCTCAAATCTGTATTGTTTCAAGGTTTTTTGTTTTGCTTTGCTTTCTCTTGTAAGGCTTCAGTTTCCAGCTGACAATATGCAAGTTTAAATAATGTTTCTTTTGCCTTTTCCACTGGAAGGAATAGGGGCATAAATGCACACTGCTAGTACATGTGATCTGTTCTATTTTAATTTATGTTATTATGCTAGTCCCTTGCCCCTGAGGATTTCTGGTATGGTGAGGAGAAGGTTTACTTGGACCCCAAAACCCTCCTCGGAGAAGGCAATGGCACCCCACTCCAGTACTCCTGCCTGGAAAATCCCATGGATGGAGGAGCCTGGTGGGCTGAAGTCCATGGGGTCGCTGAGTTAGACATGACTGAGCAACTTCACTTTCACTTTTCACTTTCATGCACTGGAGAAGGAAATGGCAACCCACTCCAGTATTCTTGCCTGGAGAATCCCAGGGACGGCGGAGCCTGGTGGGCTGCTGTCTATGGGGTCGCACAGAGTCGGACACGACTGAAGCGACTTAGCAGCAGCAGCAGCAGCAAAACCCTCCTCCCAAAAGGCAATAACTGTTGTATCAGCTGTTTTGCAGCAACAATTTGTTCTTTTTTATTATCAACTATATTATATCTGCATATGTACACATGAAATGCAAAGGAATTTTTTTAAATGTAAAAACCTTTATTCAGTCGCTTAAAATAATTTTTCCACTCCAATCCTTTATCTTTCCTTCCAAAACACAAGTTAAACCATGAAATCTGATTGTGGTTATCTGCAGAAATTTAAAAATTAAATTTACTTAAAATGGATAACCAAAGGACCTACTGTATAGCACAGGGAACTCTGCTCAATATTATGTAACAACCTAATAGAAAAGGAAAAGAAGTTAAAAGAGAATAGATACGTGTATGTGCAGAACTGAATCACTTTGCTGCTCACCTGAAACTAACACAACATTGTTGATCAAATAGATTCCAACATAAAATAAAAGTGTTTTTTTTTAAAGAGATCATTGAAAGAAAGAAGTTTTAGGAAATCTAGCATTGTGGTTATTTTGAACATGATCTGCCTTTTACTGCTTCAAGTGCATTATTGGTGAGAATCTCAAGGATATTTTTTAAAAAAAAGAGGTGACTATCATCCTGGACTGAAAATAAAATTGTGTTATAGTCACTATATCATTTTGGGGTAGTTTTTTGTTTTGTTTTTTTTTAATTTTCTTTGTTTGATGGTAGACAAAGCCCTCAATTTCCAGGCCTCAGAAGTATTGCTAAAATACAAGGCTCACAATTAGATATTTTCGTATTCTGTTTCCCTTTATCATTCTTTTGATATTGTGTTCTAGAAAAGCAAAGCTCGATAGTCATGGAATTACTTGAAAATGAATTATTGTTACATTTACTGATTACTGTAGCTCAGCTGGTAAGTAGTCTGTCTGCAAGGTAGGACACCCTGGTTCATTTCCTGGGTCGGGAAGATCCCTGACTTCTCCAGGACAGGCTACCCACTCCAGCATTCATGCGGTTCCCTGGTAGCTCAGATGGGGAGACCTGGGTTCAATCCCTCGGTTGGGAAGATATCCTGGAGAAGGCAATGGAAACTCACTCCAGTATTCTTGCCTGCAGAATTCCATGTACGGAGCAGCCTGGTGGTCTATGGTTCTTGGGGTCGCAAAGAGTCAGACACAATTGAATGGCTAAGCACAGCACAGAAACCAAAGACTCTTTTTAAGTTCTCTTCTCTACTATACATTAAAATTCATTTTTCATGTCGATGTAGTGCTGTAATAAATATATTAAATGAAAAAATAGAAAAAATCCTTTCCTCTCTTACTTATAGAAAAAAGATAGGATCTCTAACTACCGCAGGACCTCTGGAGATGAATACTATATTGTGGAGTAAAGCAGCCTTTAAATAAATGGAATAATCACCAGCCTAAGAAACAAACCAAGTTAAAAGCTTCCTGCAAAGCTGTTCTCATAGTTTTTGGCTGTCCCAGGGCTGGGTAACATTTGGGTGAGACCTGGAAGGAATCTTTTAATTCATTCCACTATGATGAATAAATATGTATGTATACAAAAAAAAGTTCTCTTTAGCAATTTTATTCCTTAACAGAATACAGTATTCTGAATTTTGATTAGTTACATGATATTATCTACAAAGCCTATATAAAAACTGCATGTCAAGTTACCGAATCCTTCTAACAGAAAAGACTGAATTAATGCTGAAAACAAATTAAAAAAAAAAAAAAAGCAAAAGAAAACAAAATGTTTCAACTACTCTTAAAGATTTTAGTAGAGAGTGATGTTAAATTGCACTTAAAGGATTTTTCATTTGATAGGCTCTAGGCCAAAAAGCAGACATTCATGAGGTTTTGTGAGGAAATGTCCTGAAGAGACAACCTCAGATTTAATTATCTTGGACAGATTATTTTTCTAGTAAGGATCAAAACAGTATATTCAATGGCATTTCCATAATTAACTTAGAAAATATTAAACCTTTGAGATTTTCCTTTAGTAAAACCTCCTGTGTAAAACTACTAATATTTTCTTAGTCACTCCATGACACAATGAAACAAAACTGCTAAACTCTGCCAAAATAGATGGATATTTTGTATCAACCACTAAATTATACTCACCAAATGGACAATGACAATAGTAGGACTCCACACCGCTTTGACAGGAACCACCGTTAAAGCAGGGGTTGCATTCACAGTAATTGACTGAAGATTCACACATTTTCCCTGAAAAGTATCAAATTCATTTTTAAAAATTTACATAAATACATTAACACCATTAGTGCAAAACCATATGTAACAATGTATCCTGAGAGATCCTGTTGTTGGAGAAAAGAAATACAAGAACAGTTTTCTTGACATGAGGACATTGAAATATGGTATTAGAGTTCAGTCTTATTTAGTTGCCCTGTTTTAAACATGTGCATTGTAATATTTAGGAAGTAATTTACATAATTATCTTGGAAAGAACTACTGTTTTCAGGGAAATCACAAATGGTGAACATATTTAAATGTTTTCACTGAATTTATTTTCTCTTGTCGATGCCACTTCATTTTTTATATAGTATAACTAGAAAGCTGAAACTTTTACATTATAATTTTCACCATAGAGACTTCCTTAACACAGATTTTTTCAAAGGTAGGAATGAATCTCATTTAGCTTATTTGCCAAATTACAATTCTTTCATTCTCAGAAAATATTCCTTAACTTTGACATACATGTTGTAAAGCAGAATCAGAAGTAATAAAAACCCATTAAACACATTTTCAAATGCTTAGGAAGATTTATTCTTAACTATAGATTATGTATGTATGCTTTGTCTTTTTTTCTAAAATAATAACATCTAATCAGCATATATCTCAGTGTAAAAGGCTTTTCATGCATCATCTTGTTCATTCAATCAGTTAATATTGACTGAACGTCTGTTATAGGCCAGGCATTCTAGAAGATGAAGGTGCCACAGTCAAAAAGTAGACAAATGTCTTTCCATGGTATCTCCATTTTAGTGGGGAAAATTGATCTATACAACAGGAAACATTTATATTTCACAGATGAAGGAGAAGAGGTCTTTGGAGGGTAATCTCTTGCCTAAAAAATTGTAAAACTGTGATATAGACCACGTAGGTCTGTTCCCAAATCTAGGTTTCAGACAGCTACAATTGAATAATCAATCACTTAATAGGCAAAATTTAGGCTATGAGGCTAGTGTCCATCTGTGCTTTGTTATTCTTGTGATGTTGTGTGGGTTTTTTATGCAAATATAAATTTGTTATAATACCACTCTTCTGTAACTGTAAATTATTATAATATCATATTTGTTAGAATAGTTTTTAGTTTTCCAATCTGAAGAAATGAAATCAGGTGTTTCTTAATTTCCCAAGAAATTAAAACATTTCTTAGAGTTCTTAATTTCCATTCATTGATAGGAGGGAGAGTTTATTTCTGTAAAGCTATTTCCTACTTCCCAGCATGACAGCACTAATGCCTTTATTAAATGTCCCATGAAAGCACATAATTTTATCTACACAGCTAGACAATGTTGTGCATAGATAATCCATTTCATTATAATAAATATGCTTGGGACACAGTTTTTATTTAATTTAGTTCTGATATTGTGTCTTGATTATGTAGTCACACTCGGTCTGGTTTGTTTGAAGTTTTAAGTGAGTCAGGTTTTATGACACTGCTGCTGCTGCTGCTGCTAAGTCACTTCAGTTGTGTCTGACTCTATGCGACCCCCCCTAGACAGCAGCCCACCAGGCTGCCCTATCCCTAGGATTCTCCAGGCAAGAACACTGGAGTGGGCTGCCATTTCCTTCTCCAATTACTAACGGAACACAATTCTCTGTGCCATAGGGTCATAAACACATTTTCCCTTTATAAATAAAGTTGGGAACCTCATCTTGCAAGACAAAGCAGTACAATTTCAGGATACCTTCTTATTTGAAGGGGACATAATGAAAAATAAACAAGTTGCCAATTTAGAAGCACAGAAATGAAGTTTTAATTATGTTTGTAGTGGGTCATACTGGAAAAACAGGGAAGACAGGTTTATTCTAAGCTCATACAAACTATCGCACCAGAGAGACGCTCTGTCATGGAAGAACTCTTTTCTCTAGTGTTTTCTAAGTGGATTTGTCACAGATTGTTTTAGAGAAGTGTATTTTTCCCCCTCATACAGTATCTGTATCACTCAATAGAAAATAAAATAAGATCTATTGACTATATTATTCATTATTTATTTAGTATTAAGAAAGTCACCTCCCACTCCATCCATTTTTTTTCTCACATGTGCTATGACACTCATTAAGATTTTTTTTTCTTCGTTTCCTTCCATTTTTTTGGAAAATTTATTTTAGAGCTGTGTTAAAATTAGCAAGTAATAAAGCTATAGATTAATATTCTTTATAGGTATGGTTAGTATAACATTCATATTGTGAACAGATATATGTAGGTTACAAAATCACAAACTTTACTTCTTAAAGACTGGAAATGGGGAACAAAGGCTAATCAATTTAGGGTGGATGGCCATGTTCACTTACTGAAATATTTTGACATATGTGCTCTCCAAGAAAAATGTATAAGTATTAAAACCCAAATCATTGATCCTATAAACCTCAACTGTATACTTGTTTGAATCCTGTTGGAAAAGACCACCTTAAATTTTGGGTTTAAAAAAAACAACAAAAGAAATTTTAAAAAATTATATATATTAGTTATCTTATTTACCCCTTACAAAATAAGATTTTAACAGACATCTGAGTTTAATTTAAACCGTAAACTATTTCTGTTAGTCCAAAGTGAGATGTGGAAAGAAACCTCAAAAGAAAGACTTACTCATGTATTAAAACATACAGTGACTACCTAAATAGAAGCAGATACAAACTGAGAAAATAGTTTGGAATGAATTTCTTTTAAAAGCTAAAATAAATTATCAGTAGAATTTTATTTTTTAAGTAAACAATATAAATACACACGGCTGGAGAAAAAAAAAATCAACCTTTTATTTGACAGTTTACTTTAAGCCAGAATTTTATTTTCTTATTTGTTAAAAAATTTAAGAAATGACTTTTCTACAAGTTGTGCAAATGAAATTACTGTTGAGTTTGGGTAAAATAGCCTTATTTGTTGGTATTAGTACATGGTGTTAGAGTATGTATTTACCAAAATAATGGTAAATTATTTACCATTCAAATCTAGTTTGAGTACTCTATTTAATGAGTTAAATGTTTATTTTACAATTATTTAGTTTCAAAGAGCTTGCCATACTAGATTTAAAGAGATAGTCTGAAATTCAATGTTGCAATTTAAGTTATTATTAAAAAACTATTTTCTTTTATGTGATGGAAAGATGTCCTAATTTTACTTCGAATCAACATAAAGCCTTTAACTGCATTATTCCAGGGCTTGGAAAGTTTATGCTCTATTACCCAATTCGAAGTCAGCAACAAATTCTGTATTGTTCTGTGCACATTTACCTACTTAAGTGTTAGTGTTGATGGCATAATGAGTATCAGAGAATGCTGCAGTTTGAATTGCTCTACGATGCTTCTTATACAAACAATCTGATGTGCTGTGCACTGTGAAACAAAATCTTGCATCATTAACTTAGTGTTGCAAGTCAATTAACAATATTTGTCATTGCCTCGAGGCTTGAAATACTCTGATAGGGCTTGCACAAAGAGAGGCATTTATGTCTCTTGAACTCTAGGAGTCTTTTTCTATTAAGATATGTTAACTGTCAGAGCAGCTGTTTAGAGGAATAAACTGATCTCATTGCTTTGACATTCATCAATTAATGGTGTTGATACATTATTTATTATAGATAGCTTCGGGAGATGTAAGCTCCTAGCACATGGAGAAGAGGAATTGCTAAAGATGAAAATGAATGCATAATAGGAGGCAAAGGTATATTCAAACTTTCCAAGATTACAGTTTAAACTTACAGGAGAAATTTAGCATGTGTTTTCATGTTCTGGGGCAGAAGGTGTGATGAAATGTTGAACATAAATCGAATATGATGTGATCATCTATGATCTTTTCCACAAGGATATGTATTCAAGTTTCACTCGTTCCAATAGCACATTTGAACGTTACATTAGAGAAAGTTAAGGGCTTCCCAAGTGGCTCAAGAACCTGGTAAAGAACCTGCCTGCCAATCTGCAGGAGACACAGGTTCAATCCCTGGGTCGGGAAGATCCCCTGGGGAAGGAAGTGGCAACCCACTCCAGTACTCTTGCCTAGGATATCCCATGGACAGAGGAGCCTGGTGGGCTACAATTCATGGGGTCACAAAAGAGTCAGGCACAACTGAGTCACTAACACTTAGAGAAAGTTGACTTAAATTTATTCTAACTTGTTAAATTTAGCCACCCAATGGAGTTATGTTTTCTGATATCCCATAGTTTGTGTAGGCTTCAATTTAATAGCTTAGATCATATATGTTAAATGTTGTTTAGACACTAAATCATGCCCGACTCTCTTGTGACCCCATCAACCATAGCTTGCTAGACTCCCCCTGTCCATGAGATTTCCCAGGCAAGGACACTGGAGTGGGCTGCCATTTCCTCCTCCAGGGGATCTTACTGACCCAGGCATCAGACCAGGAGGCTCAGGTCTCCTGCATTGGCAGGTAGGTGTTTTACCACTGAACCACCAGGGAAGACCATATGTTATTAACTGATACCACAAATAATATTTTTCCATCTCTTGTATTTATACATAGAGAAGAAGGAAGACCATGTGGAACGAACAAAGTCCATTTTTATATAAACTATTTTATTAACAAATATAATTCCATAGTATATACATGCTATTTATTCTGAATGTTTATACTTATAAGCTTTTTTATTATTTTAGCAAAAAGTAGTTGTTTGTATGAGATGTAAATGTTTCCTATTATTATGAAAGGCACTATGAAAAGAGCTCATCTAAATATCTTGATAAATTAGCATTATGGTTTTTCATGTGGAAACAAAGCAAAAACATTATGCTTAAATAAGGGTTGCTGGTATTAAAAGCAAAAAGGAAAAAATAACTGTCTTCCTTTGTATTTTAAAACATATACAAATATGATCTAAATGCAACTACAAATGATTATATAATGATACATATAATATCCATGATGTTTACAAATACACACTTACTTTCCATAGATATTAGAAGCTTCTAGACTAATAGAACCTGTTATTAATGTTTTAATAGAGTCAATGTTTCAATTGAGGTA